TATATTTACGTGCTAAGCATTATCCTAAAAAATTTTTTGAAAATAATTTGATTTAACCGATTGCCGAGCTTAAAACCGACCATTTACTAAATATTCGATTGACCAAATTTACTAGTAATACAATTTGAAAAATGTTGATATCATGGGGAGGGGGTTTAAACGCCCCTTTTTTGAATCTCAATTGCTTATCTCTTAGATAATTAAAATTATCTGAAATATTTGCACATACACAATTTTAGAGAGTATTATAGATTTTATTTATTATATAAAAATAAAAATACTTTAGCATATAGTATTGCATAAATTTTAAGTGTTAATACAAAAATTATATAAATGTTATAACTAAGAATTTATAGTAAATTTGGTCAATCGAATATTTAGTAAATGGTCGGTTTTAAGCTCGGCAATCGGTCAAATCAAATTATTTTCAAAAAATTTTTTAGGATAATGCTTAGCACGTAAATATACACATATAAAACAAAAATTAAGATATTTTGATTTAAAACGCCAGCAATTCATTATTTAGTCATTGGGTGGGCTACGAGTCGGTTATCCGCCAAATAGCGATATTTTAAAAATATTTTTTGGGATTATGTTTTATACGTATTTATAGATACATAAAACGAAAATTAACATTTTTCAAATTGTATTACTAGTAAATTTGGTCAATCGAATATTTAGTAAATGGTCGGTTTTAAGCTCGGCAATCGGTCAAATCAAATTATTTTCAAAAAAATTTTTAGGGTAATGCTTAGCACGTAAATATACACGTATAAAATAAAAATTAAGATATTTTGTTTTAAAACGCCAGCAATTCATTATTTAGTCATTGGGTGGGCTACGAGTCGGTTATCCGCCAAATAGCGATATTTTAAAAATATTTTTTGGGATTATGTTTTACACGTATTTATAGATACATGAAACGAAAATCAACATTTTTCAAATTGTATTACTAGTAAATTTGGTCAATCGAATATTTAGTAAATGGTCGGTTTTAAGCTTGGCAATCGGTCAAATCAAATTATTTTCAAAAAATTTTTTAGGATAATGCTTAGCACGTAAATATACACATATAAAACAAAAATTAAGATATTTTGATTTAAAACGCCAGCAATTCATTATTTAGTCATTGGGTGGGCTACGAGTCGGTTATCCGCCAAATAGCGATATTTTAAAAATATTTTTTGGGATTATGTTTTACACGTATTTATAGATACATAAAACGAAAATCAACATATTTCAAATTGTATTACTAGTAAATTTGGTCAATCGAATATTTAGTAAATGGTCGGTTTTAAGCTCGGCAATCGGTCAAATCAAATTATTTTCAAAAATTTTTTTAGGATAATGCTTAGCACGTAAATATACACATATGAAACAAAAATTAAGATATTTTGATTTAAAACGCCAGCAATTCATTATTTAGTCATTGGGTGGGCTACGAGTCGGTTATCCGCCAAATAGCCATATTTTAAAAATATTTTTTGGGATTATGTTTTATACGTATTTATAGATACATAAAACGAAAATCAACATTTTTCAAATTGTATTACTAGTAAATTTGGTCAATCAAATATTTAGTAAATGGTCGGTTTTAAGCTCGGCAATCGGTCAAATCAAATTATTTTCAAAAAATTTTTTAGGATAATGCTTAGCACGTAAATTAACACATATAAAACAAAAATTAAGATATTTTGATTTAAAACGCCAGCAATTCATTATTTAGTCATTGAGTGGGCTACGAGTCGGTTATCCGCCAAATAGCGATATTTTAAAAATATTTTTTGGGATTATGTTTTACACGTATTTATAGATACATAAAACGAAAATCAACATTTTTCAAATTGTATTACTAGTAAATTTGGTCAATCGAATATTTAGTAAATGGTCGGTTTTAAGCTCGGCAATCGGTCAAATCAAATTATTTTCAAAAAATTTTTTAGGATAATGCTTAGCACGTAAATATACACATATAAAACAAAAATTAAGAGATTTTGATAAATAACGCCAGCAATATTTACCTTAGAAAATTTCCATTATTTTACTATTCTAAACCTACTCATAGATTAAACATCAAAGAAACCTAAATTTTTTTTTTAATTTTTAGGTTTTTCATATGTATATATACCCAAATATAAAAAAAGCGCTATCCAATCATCATTCCGGTTTCCTAAAATGATACTTACATATTTACGCATATAACGCCCACTTACGGATATATATTTGTTAATTTTTAAAATTGAAAAAAATTTATTTATGTTTTAATAAGCTATGAAAATATTTTTTTTATAATAATATTAACTCAAAATAAAATTATATATTATATGATATTTAATTAGTATCCTTCATTTAATAAAAAAATAATTTAAGTATATTTTAAAAAAAGTTTTAAAAATTTTCATTAAATAAAATATACATAATAAAATTTTGATTGATTATGATTAATTGCTTTTTTAGCAATTCATTTTAGCAATTCAGTATTTAGTCATACCCTGTGAAAATCACTAATAAATTGTAACAAAAATAATATTACAATAGTAGTAGCTAGTGTTTGCAACGGTCCGGTTGGACCGACGGTCCGGTCCGGTCTTATCAGACTTTTCGGTCCTAGGGACGGTCCCGTCCAACAACACGGTCCCACGGTCCGGTCCGACCGAAGACCGATTTAAGAATATAAAAGTTTACTATAAATTGCATTATAATGTGTATGTACATGAACATATAAAATATGACTATTTAATGCCTAACACTTTATAATATCTAATTCATCGTTTACTTTTTATATTCTTCCGTTTCATTAAATTAAATATTCATAGTTTACTTTTTATATTCTCCCGTTTCATTCAAATAAATTCAATCGCATTCAAGTATTTTAATTTAGTAGGGTAGGTAGTATTATATTTTATTTTTAGAAATGGATATTGAAATCATAGAAGTTGATATTGAAATGTCACACTCTTCAAGGGGTGAAAGAATGACTATTATTGATGAAAATCAAAAAAATTCTTTAAATGTTAAAGAATTATACAATTATTTTAAAAAAGAGACTGGTCATAAGATTTGTAAAATCTGTTTACAATCATTTTCAAATACATCAAGCACAAGTAAATTAAGCATATATACTATTAGCTGGGAACCAATATTAAAAACCCAATATAAACAAAATATTGTATTGGTATTGGGTCTAAAATATTGATATTGGTTTAAACAATATTTTCTATTTCTTGTATCTTGTATTGGTTTATATTGTATTGGTTTAAATTCAAATAACTAATTAAAAAAATAGAAATAAATAGTGATTATAAAACCCTTTCATTATCAATCAATATAATGAATTGTTATTATGCCCATAAAGGGTATTATATTTGGAGGAGACCAAATGTCCATTGTTAAGGAAAATTTAGATGTAAAATTGATAAAAGAACTATGTTAATGTTTCATAATTTCTATTTTTAATCTTTTTCTAGAAAGTAATTTTAGTGAGGGTTTAGAATATGCTATTAAATTTTTAAAAGTGATAAACATTGAAAAGGCTGTTATTTTGAATAAAAAAGAATTAAATGTTTTAAATTAGCTTTATTATTTATATTATTAACTAAAAATGATTTTATTGTGTTAATTTTTTTACTGCCTATTTATTTGTTCACATTTCTTATATAATGTTGGGCTTGGGTGGATGGATTTAAAATGTTATTAACTCTACCTGGTCTTCATTCATTATAATATCCTAAATGAAATGGATAAATTAGTTTATGTTTATGTAATGAAATTAAAAAAATATACCACGATAAAACCAAATAATTATATGTATTCATCTATTTTTATATTGGTATTGATTAAAATTGTATTTAAGCAATATATCAAAACCAATATATTTATGTAATTGGTATTGGTATTGTAAACCAATATTATATTGGTATTGGTCCCGCCCCTATATACTATGATTCACATATGTTATGAATAATTTTTCTTATTTTAGCTACTTTAAGACGACATATGTTTCTTAAACATAAAAATGTATCACAGGGAGAGGAAAAATTATTAGTTCAAAAAGAAATAAATTTTTCTTCAGATCATATATATAATAGCAAAATTACAACTGCTCAAAATAAAAAAATTAATAAATACATTGCGGAAATTATTATAACATCTACCATCCCCCTGCATGCCCTTATAAATAATATTAAATTTTTGGAAATGATTGGATATATAAATCCAAATATTAAAGTGCACACTTATAATACTTTCAAAAAGAATATTCTAAACAATCATATAAATAAAAAAATTCATGTCATATCCATGATAGCAAATTTGCCAGGAAAACTGGCTATCACTACAGATTTATGGACATCTGTTCAAAAACTTCCATATATATCTGTAAGTGGGCACTATATAGATAAATCATGGAAAATGAAGGAAATCATATTGGATATTAATTATGTGCCTTATCCGCACAAAGCTGAAAATATATACAAATGTCTTTCAGATTTAATTATTGAATATAATTTAAAGGAAAAAATTATCAGTTTAACAACTGATAATGCTGCAAATATGGTGAAAACTCAGAGACTCATGAAGACTTACATGAGTCCAAACCCATTCGCAGTATATGGGTGTATGGCACACGTATTAAACATAATTTGCCAAAATATTCTGAAAAACATTGATGAAGTTATCATTAAAGTGAGATTGATTACTACGAATATATCTCAAAGTCCATCATTGCTCCAAAAATATAGGTCATTACTTAGAGGTAATGACATAGGACAGAAAATTCCCACTGATGTTGAAACTCGCTGGAATTCAACATATTTGATGTTGGTGAAGGTCCTTAAAGTAAATTATCTATCTTTTTCTTTTTTTAATAGGATTATATATTTAGAATTTTGAGACAATAAGAACTTTGTGTTATTCAGAGTATGAAACCCTAGGCAGCATTGCCCTCACAAATATTGATAAAAATAAAATAGAGGAAGTAATTCCTTTATTAAAACCATTTTATGAAACCACCTTGGATTTATCTGGATCCTCCTATCCTACCATTGGTTTAATATCTTTTATCTAATATTTTTAAATGGTTTTTCTCTTATTTAGGCATATGTCTTATGCTAATGGAAAATATTCAAATACATATTGCAAATATTTTTAATTTTAATTCCTCGCCCTCATTTATTGGTGCAACTTTTGCAACGAAAGTCACTCAGAAAGCTAATCACTACATTCACAAATTTTTAAACATTGAGTCGTATATTGGTAGTCTATTAGACCCCAGAATCAAAAAAGTTATTCATAATTCTTTATAATATTACAAAATTTCTTTTTATTTAGGTTCACATGTATAATCTATTAAATACTCCTGAAAATTTTATCCAATTTAAGGAAGTATATGAAAAATATGCAAGCACTTTATCAAGTGGCATAAGGACAAACAAAGTATATAAAAATATTTATTTATTTATTGATAATTATTATTTAAGGAAATATCCCTGAGGGAGAGAATAGCCAGGGATAGGCTCATGGGAACTGGGTCATCAGAGGAGATAGCTCAGATAGAGGATATAACTGAAATTCAATGTTATTTATCTGATATTTTATGTCCTGTTAATTCCAATATACTAGATTGGTGGGAAGGGAATCAATATCGATTTCCAGTTCTACCAAAAATAGCAATGGACTATCTCCCCCAGCAGGCTACATCAGTAGCATGTGAAAGGATATTTTCTAAAGCTAATGATAAAATAACTAAAAAACGCAATAGAATGAATCCAAAGATGGTTCAATCTATGATGGCACTTGAATCATGGATAAAAAATGGAATCATTTTTGATTTTTTAGAAAATAATTAAATTATTTATATACAATTTATATTATAACCAAATAATATATATATCATTAATTAAATATGTAAATCATATTCATATTGATATAATTTTTATATTAAATAAATTTGTATTTTAATATTCTTTTGATTAGGCCTTTGTGTATTAATAAAAATGAATTGATGATATAATTGAAATATTAATAGGGAGTTTAACTATTCATTTTTAATAAATTTAAATGCAGAATAAAACTTTTGTAGCTTTATAGAAATTTTTTTAGGTGGGACCGGACCGCCTGGACCGGACCGGACCGACGGTCCCACGGTCCGGTCTCATTTAACTTGACGGTCTATCGGTCCGGTCCCATTTTAGAAAAAAAAGACCGGACCGGACCGTTGCAAACACTAGTAGTAGCATATCATTTTTTTATTAAAAAATATTCATAATATAATAATATAAATAAAAAATTTTAATATAAATAAAAAAATAATAATAGGCCGCGCTATATTTCGCGAAATAGTTTTCGCTATATTATCTTCGCGATTTATGTTTCGCGATATTGACTTCGCTATAAAATTTTCGCGATTATTGATTCGCGATAAAAATTTCGTTCTAATGTATTCGCTTTAAAGGTTTCGCGATAAGAAAAAAATTCGCGATATTTGTTTCGCTCTATTGTTTTCTCGGAAAAATATTCGCTAATGTGGATTCGCGATAAAAGTTTCGCTATAAAATTCATTTGCGATAAACGACATTCGCGAAAAAGTGTTTCGCGATAAAAGTTTCGCTGAATTGACATGGAACCTATATAACTTACTTCAGAAAAAATAATTGAATGTATGGCTTTAATATAAGACTCGCCCAGTCTATCAGAACTACAATATATTATTAACAAAACTACCAGTCCATTTTAAAAATTTTCTAACCTGCATTGCGGACTTACTCTGCAAACTAACAAATATTTAAGAATCATTTGGGCAAACAAAATAATTAAATTCCATTTGTTTTCTAAACTTGATCTGAGTGCAGCCAACTAGTTTTTTGGCACCTGATCAAATTTAAGAACTGAAACCTTGAACTCTCCTAAAATTTATAGGAACTGAAACCTCAAAAACCAACTTTAAAATATCTGGGAACTGTCATACAAGTTCAAGTAATTTCAGGAATCTCGTCAAATTTAAAACTAGAGACCACTTTTTAAATTTAAGGAACCGGAACTAAAAAACATTTTGAAATTAAAGGAACAGGAAATAGAAACCATTTTGAAATTCAAGAAACCGGAAGTAGAACCACTTTAATAAAAAATATTCAGAACTGGAACCAGAACTCCTTTTTTGTCCAGGGTTTCCATACTGATTATAAATAAATTTATTGTTAACTAATTTTTCTATTTAAATAAAATTTTTTATTAGATCTTGAAATAAGATGGGTTGACGCTTATTTCCCTTTCACCCATCCCTCGTGGGAACTTGAGATTAAATTCGAAAATGAATATATGGAAATCCTTGGTTGCGGGATCATGGAACAAAAAATTTTGAATCAAGGTTTATTTGATTATATGACAAAAATGATAGAATTTAATTGTCAATTTCTTATAATATTGTATGATTCGCCAAGAATGTATAATTAATTATTGATTTTATATATTTAAATTTTTTCCCCTTAATTTTAAGAAATTTTATAGCTTTGTGGGTAAAATGTCAATTTGCTGCATAAACTTTTTTAAAAACTTGAATATTATTGGTAAAAAAATTGCCGCTAGTGGTCATGTCATTAATCGATGTTTAACAGAGGTGCATATCAGGGATCCAAACTGAACCGTTAAACCGCTAAAACCGGTTATTTTATCGAACCCTAACCACTAAAATAATTTCTAGCCGAACCTGAACCGAACCGCTAAAATGCCTCTGAACCGGTTCGAGCCTCATGATTTTATGCCTATAAAATAATGTGTAAATTATTACTAGTATATTGTAAAAATTTTAATTATATTCGAATTGTTTTAAAGTTTATTATCAATCTTATTTGATTGATAAGTGTCAGTCATGATTTTTATAAACTTAAGTATATAGCCATTTTACAGCATTTTTTAAATATTTTAAGCCTATAAATTATAATACCTAGAGAAGATTAAATCCAATATATAAATTATTTATATATAGTATTATAAATGACACATCAAAATGTAATATCACTGATTGTTAAATAAATATGAAAGGCCATCATAAATCTTGAGCGTCACAAAAAAAACCACCATCTATTTGATAAAATTAACAAAATATCACAACAAAGCCCAATAAAATAAAAAAGTTTAAGATGTCATCAAGCCAACAGATGACAGAAGAAGCATTAAAAGAACAAACAATTCAGTAAAACTAAATAAAAAATTATAATCGATGATTGTACTGAATTGGTCACTTTTAATGGCAGACCATTCAAATTAATCGATGATAGCGGTTTTAAAAAAATTCTTGATCCTTATTAGAAGCCGTGGGTATTAAAATTAATTCTAAAAATATTTAATCTAATAATGCAGAATAAGCTTTAAGTATTTGGTTAAATATAATCAAAGAAATAAATATTATAGTTAATTTTTCTAAAGAACCTAGGTTAAATAAAACTATGAATATTTTAAACTATTAGAAAATCAGAGTAATCGATGCCCAGAATTATATAAGGGTCATTCCATGTCAAATGAGCAAAAAAATCAAGATTTTCGGCCGACCCCTTTCAATTTTGATAAAAAGTTGTAGACTGGTTATATATGTTTCCATTAGATTATAAACAAAATTTTAGCGCATTAGCAACTATATTAGCGGAGATAATCGGGGTTAAAGGTCCAAAAAACGCCTTTTTTTCCTTTTTACTGATGTTAAATAATTAATTTTTAATTTAAAACTAATTATGATCTAATATTGAATCTAATATCAATAGCTAAGTTAATAATTGATAATTATGGCGAAAACATCAAAAATAATTTTTTTTTAAATATGGGTCATCTTATGGTCAGTTGAAAATTTGAAATTAATATTTCGAAATGTATATGATCTCCGATTTTTAATTTTTTTAAGAAATATTATCCGTTTACTATTTTTTTAATAATTTCTTTAACAATTAGCATGGCTGGATATTTATTTAAAAAAATATTGCGATTTTTATACTTTAAAAAAATAGATGGCGCTATATATAATAGTTTTAATATGTTAAAATTCATTTTTTTTATTGATTATAAATATTTTAATGTATAATATATCATAAAATTCGATCATATAACTTTGTAAACCTTATTCCCCTGAGATATTCGCAGGATAAAAAATTTTAATAATTTTTTTAATATTTCAATGTAAATTAAAATAATTAAAGAATCGGACTAAGCAGGATTAAAGGGGTGCAGGAAAATTATTAAGGGAAAAATCGAAAATCACATTAATTATTAGGCCTACCCCCAACCCTCCCCCCCCCAGACTAAATCGTACTCATCAAGACCAATAATGTTATGAAATTGTCATTATCTTACATTATTAAAATAACCAGAGATAAAGATAATTTCAAAGATTTTGAAAATTAAGCAATAAAAATAACAAAATTATAGTTCTGATGAAATAAGCCGACTCATGCCTGGAATAAAAGATTGTGTATCTGTTAAAGGCGAGAAAGAATCAGCAAAGGTTTATATTAAATAATCTTAAAGATATATTCAAGATGTTTAAGGAAGAATACCCAAGTATATCAATTGGATTCCCTAAATTTGCCGAACTTAGAACCAAAAAACTGAATTTTAGTTGGATGGCACACACACTGTTTGTGTCTGCGCCATTCATCAGAATGTGAAATTAATGACAAATGTAATAGCTGAAATTACAGCAGGAGAAGATTACTGTATAAATTCTTATAACAATCTTTTGGCGCAAATTATTTGTAATCCATCTCAGCCAAAATGTTATTTAACAAATTGTGATCAATGCCCTTGTATAGAATCTCTTATGGGCCAATTATACCAATTGTTTCAGAGAAATCGTTTAGAATATGTCACGTTTAAACAATGGATCACGGTGGATAGAGCAAATCTTGAAACTATTATAAAGTCCATTGATGGTTTCATCGAATTCACTCGTTTATAGCTAAACACAAAGTTTATTTTTGAAAAATTCCAAAGAAAATTTAAAAGATGAGGAATTTTTAACAATTCTAGATTATTCTGAAAATTATTCCCTTATTTTACAAGATGAAGTTCAGGGATTTCATTGGAACAATGTGCAGGCCACTATACATCCATTTGTAGCATATTATAAATCTGGAGAAGAATTAAAAAATATAAATTTTGTTATTTTGTCCGAATCATTAAGCCATAATACTAGTGCAGTCCAACTTTATCAAAAAAAATTCATTAAATTCTTAACAGCCAAATTTAATTCTAAACCAGAAAAAATAATATATTTTTCGGATGAAGCCGCGTCTCAATACAAGAATCGCAAAAATTTTCTGAACATATGCCTTCATAAATACGATTTTAATATTCCTGCCGAATGGCATTTCTTTGTCACTGCTCACGGCAAAAATGCATGTGACGGTATCGGAGGAACTGTCAAAAGATTAGTTGCCAGAGCTAGTCTTCAAAGGCCAAATAAAAATCAAATCCTAACCCCATTAGAATTATATAATTATGCTAAAGAAAATATTAATATTCAATTTGAATATGTATCCAATCAAGAATATATCGAAGAGGAAATAGCCCTTCGTAAAAGATTTAATTCTGCACTGCCCATACATGGGACCCAAAAAATTCACGGGATTATTCCCATTGATCAAAATAAACTAAAAACCAAAATATATTCTAATTCCAAAAAATATAATATAAAACAAGTTCCGTTTTTAAATGAGAAAATTATATTTTAAAATATTAATGGATATATAACATGTGTATATGATGATAAATGGTGGTTAGGATATATAATCGATAAAATTTATACAAATGAAGAAGTAAAAATCCGATTTTTACACCCTCGTGGACCTTCAGCTCATTTAAATTTCCTTTGAAAGATAATATTTTAGTGTTGCCTACATCTCATATTCTCTCGCTGGTCAATCCTTCTACTCCCACCAGTCGAACATATATATTATCTCCTGAAGAATCTCACAAGCTAGCCAGGCTTTGTATTCCTTTAGATAAAGTAAGATTTAATTCATTTATAAACTATCTTAATTAGGTAAAATTTGTGAAGATTTTAAAAATTTATGATCTGAATTACAAATAAATATATATAATGCACATTGTAATCGATTTAGTATGATATATATACATTAATATTTTTAATCAAAAATGTATTTTAACATATTAAAACTATTATATATAGCGCCTTCTATTTTTTAAAAGTATAAAAATCGCAATATTTTTTTAAATAAATATCCAGCCATGCTAATTGTTGAAGAAATTATTAAAAAAATAGTAAACGGATAATATTTCTTAAAAAATTAAAAATCGGAGATCATATACATTTCGAAATATTAATTTCAAGTTTTCAACTGACCATAAGATGACCCATATTTTATCAAAAATCAATTTTGATGTTTTAGCCATAATTATAAATTATTAACTTAGCTATTGATATTAGATTCAATATTTGATCATATTTAGTTTTAAATTAAAAACTAATTATTTAATATCAGTAAAAAGCAAAAAAAGACGTTTTTTGGACCTTTAACCCCGAATATCTCCGCTAATATAGTTTCTAATGCGCTAAAATTTTGTTTATAATCTAATGGGAACATATATAACCAGCCTACGAATTTTTATCGAAATCGAAAGGGGTCGGCCGAAAAGTGATTGATTTGACATGGAATGACCCATAAATTGTTTAATATCATATTGGCAGTGCCAGCTACCCAAGTTAGTGTGGAAAGATTTTTTTCAACAATTAATTTTATACTATCTCTTTATAGATGTAATTTGAGTGAGACGAATCTTGAAAATATATTAATTATGCGGTCTAATTAAAAAAATTTAAGTAAATAAAGTTAAATATTGTTCATATTAAAATTAATCATTGATATTTATTTGTAGGATTTATAATTTACAATTAATAAAGATGAAGGTTTTATGTATGTTTTTTATTTTAATGATGAAATAAAAAAAATAAACCTCCATATACATAATTCGAATGTAGATTTGAATATACAAAAATGTTCAAACCGGTTTTTAGAGGTTCAAAACGAACCGATATATTTATTTTTTACGAACCAAACCTGAACCTTGAACCGTTATTTTTATCCGAACCTGAACCTGAATCGAACCGATATTTGTTTCGGTTTGGATCCCTGGTCCCAACCATCTCGTGCCCATTAACTTATCTCACGTTGGATTAAGATTTGATGGTATGATAACTATCCCTTGTGCACTCCGCACATTATTACGGGATTATATATGGGTCTCTTCATTCCCTTTAAACGCCAACATCAATTCGCGAACCCAAGCCGAAACCACAAAGATTAAAAAAATTTAAAGACTTCAAAAACTTTCTTTTCATTCCTATAGTCGCATCCACAAATTGCAATTTTTTGCCAATAACATTAATACCTAATAAATATAAGAAGCAAAATTAGCCATTTTACTAACAAAGCCAACAAAAAATTAAATATTAATAAGATATTAATAAAAAAAAATTATTTAACTTTATATTTATATTGGGCTATGCCGATCCACAAACTTTTCACCAATCCTAATTTCTAAAAGACCGATCCAATATCGATCCGATTTTAAAAAACCAATCCGATGTTTATTTTTATTTACCATCTATCTTAATGTAATTAACACAATATAAATATTTTCTCTATTTTAAAAAAAATAACCAACTTACTTTCACGAAATTTTTTTTTTATCCAAAAGTTAAAAAGCTTATTTAAAATATGTGCAATGTTTATAATAGAATTTAGTAAAAAATTATTACTTTTTTGCCAATAGTAGTTCGAATCTTTCTGCCATATGTGACCAAAATAAATAAGCTTGAGTAATTTACTTTTGGCCAAAATCTTGAGTTAACCGTTTTTAAAAATTGGCTAAATTTAGCCGTTTAACAACACTATCTGAATGCAACTTGTTAGATATTTTAAAATCCTTTTCCTGTTTTAACTTTTTTTAAAAAACATAACAACAAATAAATTGAATTTATAATTCCTTTTATTAATTTATTGTGAAAATAATATAAAATAAATTATTTACAATCATAAAATAACCAAAAAACAATAAAAATATCTGATCGGGTCAGCTTTTTAAAAAATATCTGCAGGATCATTTTTTCTAAATCGTTAAATATCTGTGCCGATATTATATTTAATAACAGCGCAGTCATAATTTATATCGTGTTTAAAGGATTAGGCAATGATCCAAATCTTTAAAACGGTTAACAATTATTATTTGCCGAACCTGAACCTTTAAGAAATTTATCACCCTAACTTGAACCTCCTAATGAGTTTTGCCTTGATTAATATCACCAACTATTTTTAGATGTTTTTGAATTGCAGAAGAGAATCGTGAAAATATTTTTATCCGGTTCGATATTATTTTTTTGATTAGTGATGAAAATTTCCTTTTTAAAAAAATCTTTTTATATACATAATTCTAATACGATAAAAAATTTTTTAGTACCCGGCCCGATCCCAAACGATTTATTTTATTTGTCCCGAAAAGCCCGACCCAAAATAAAAAAATTTAGTCGGCAGCGCAAAATTATTTAAATATAGAAATATTTAATTTTTTTTGAACAAAGCGCAAACATTTTTTATTTATAGGATATTTAAAATTCTGCGCCTTGTTTCTTTCAAGAATTTTAAAATATATCAATTTATTTCATATAATATAATGATATTATTATCATATTAAAAACTTTAAGCCCAAGGCGCGAAATTTTTTGAAAAATATTAACTCAGCCCGAACCAAAATATTTTTAAAAAATAGGCCCGGCCCGAAACTCATTCTCGGCCCGGCCCTTGATTTGCGGATCTCTAATAAAAAGTAAATTGTTTATCAATGATTTAAAATTAAAACAACGGTCGTTTTTTTATTAATGATTTTCTTATCTGTTGATATATTATAATAATAAAATGGGTTGAAAAGCAAACAAGTCATTTGTAATTATAATGCTATTTTAATTCATTTTAAAATTATGAAAACATGTATTACAATGCACACAAATTGAGCGTTTGCGTTTTGCCTTACTTTATAGATAAATAAAAAAACGTTACGCATCTCTTGTTTAAATTGAAGTGGGATTTTTTAAATTAAAGAAAAATGGAATATATAAGTTTGAAACATGAAAATGCTAACCTTAAATTAAAGAAAGTATTGAAAAGAAACCAGTATGCGTTTTTTAAAATGCCTTCTATCGCCAAACGCTAATTCGACCAATTTGCACTGTACCATTTGAAATGCCTAACGCAGCCTTTGAAACGCTTAATTTATGCGCCATATTATGCAATGAATGAATCGCTTAAAAATATCCAAGATATTTGGATGATCCAGAATAGTTTATAACTAAATTTTATGATTCCATAGATTTTCAGTAATCTACTATAAGAAAAATAAAATTAAAAATGTATCTTGAGGAGGGGAGATTTAAATTAAAATGTCAAATAATTTGCAACTTTTTATCCAAAAACAAAGATAACTAAATGATGTAATTTTTATTATCATTTTTATTTCTAATCAATTTAATAAAAGCCGGGGCACACAATAAAGTAGGTTGGGCTTTCGGCTTAGGACTGGAAAGACTGGCCATGCTCTTGTATGGCATTCCAGATATCCGGTTATTTTGGTCTCAGGATTCGGGATTTTTAAGCCAATTTAAAACGGATGATTGCGAAAAGACCATCAAAATGAAAGTAATATAGTAATGATCAGTATCTTACTTGCATAAAATATTATTTTATAAAGATCTTTAACGTTTTTGTTTTAATATATTTTATAATTTTTTATGGTATAACAGTTTTATCTTTAAGGATGGGAGGGAGGGGGGTATATGAGGGGACACTCAACCATTAATATTAAAATGGCGGCGTTTACGGTTAAGGCTAATGAATGTAATTAGTCCTTTCCGTTCTGATGGTTTTATTTTTTGGTGATGGACCGTATTTTAGGACTAATTTCTAGGGATGGACAGGACTTAGGACCAGGCGTTGGCTTAACCGATAAAATTAGTTTAACCATATGCTTACATTGCCATTTTTTATTTTAATTTAATCATACTTTATAAGGGTATTTTTATGGTTATTTTATTCTCTTTTTCATTTTTAGGAAAAAAGAAACATTTAATATATTTATAATCTCAAAACAAAATATCATGATAAATCACTTCCTCTAATTCTAAAAATGAATCCTATATGTGAATGGTGAAATATCGAAGGATTATGAATTTATGCTTGTGCAGAACTTTGATTTTCAAAACAAAATTTACAATCTAATTTATAGTATAAAACCTTATATAAAATATGAATAAGATTTTTATGTACTCTTTACAATATTTTGTGTGCATATTTCTTATTAAAATTTAAAAAACTAATTTTTGGAATACCGCTTTTTGTAAGAAATTATCTGTCCTTAAGATATCCCGTTTTTAGGACCGATTTTAAAGGACAGGCTGGGACTATTTCAAACGTTTTCACATTATAAATTTTTATATTCTTTCCGAATAACGCTAGGCGTTTTGGGATGTCTACAGCAGTAAGATTTTTTAATTAAATTCATAAACGTTGTGTGGTTACAGGCATGATCTCCCCTGTTTTAGTTATGCTAATTCATTTAATATGCGATGAGCTGCGCCACCATTTTGCCATTTTTATTTGATCGAATTGGATTATATTTTAAGCCGATATTGGATATTTTTATTTTAAGAAAAAAATTATCGGGTCAAACTGGTATCGAAAAACGTTTCGTAATATTCCTAATTAATTTTTTTTATATAATTTTTAAATATAATTATTTAGCCGATTAGTAAATTTCCTCAGTGCATCAATGATGTATCCTTTTGGCTCCCCCCAAATCAAGAATTATTTGATACGAACGATTTTTTAGAAATGATTCGTAACATAACCTCTATAGCCGAGTCGGAATTTGATGAAATTGAAACAATGTTCGACGAACCTAGCACTGTTTTAAACGATTTAATGTCCAACAATAGATTCAAGCATTCGAACAACGCGAAGGATAGTTTAGCCAAAAAGCTAGTCCCTAAAAAGGATGAAACTTGTAATAATGGTGGCAACAAACTCGCGCAGGAACGTAGAATCGATATAGTGGAGCAAGTTCAGCTTATGGATGAGTATAAAGATGCCAAAAGCGGTCGCATAAGTTTATGCTATAGGATAATCTATAGGCACCCTACCAAAACTCTTACCAAGGAATTGGTTAACCGATTTCATCGCAAAATAGAAAAAGCGCTTGAAACCGAGTTTGACATCACATTGCGTTAAATTCTAATTTTTAATAATTCTTATAATAAATAGATTTCATTATTATTTCTACTACTCATATAAATCTTTTCAAATTATAACGAAAGGAAGAATTAATGATTGAAAAATAGGAAAAAAAAGAAATGCTTGCTTATTTTAATATTTTAAATAAATTATAAATCATGAAATGAATAATCTAGCATAAATAAGATAGTTTACACTCTAGATGCGCCTGGCTTTTTCTTTCAGCATATTAAGAAACTTATAAGAATTTAACTTTAGATAATAGATTGATATCGTTAAGTTCTGCTGGGCTATTAATTTAGCCCTCATCACTCATTTCTGGATAGTCATAGGGATATTATGTAGTATTGTTAAACAGATCGATTTCGCCGATTTTAAATTAAGATTTTAGCCAAAATAATATTATGGAAACCTCGGAATTTCGTTAAACCTTTGAGCAAAATCTCCAGACTTGGGTAATGGTTTTAGGTTGAAATATTGAGTTAGCCAATATTAGAAATTCAGTTTAACTACATTAGCTTTTAGGTATCTCATGCTTATTAAACCAATTATAACTTCAAAGACTCAACTCAAAGTTTACAAAGATTATATAAGACTGTAGAGAAAGTATAAGTGTAAAACACGGGTGAGTTTAACAAGCATTGTATTAATATATATAATAGGTCATGACGAGCTTATATTTTTAAAAATAAGCGCGATAAAAATGAAAGGCTGAACAACGGTTCTACCGTAAAAAAAAGTAAGTTCATTTTTACTTTTACCGCGATTTAATTTACAAGGTAAAAATTTGCACGTATCACCCTGAATATATTAGGGCTCTTTGTCCACTCGGATTCTTTAAAGCTAAAATAAAAAATATATTTTTTGGATTGTAATGTTTGAAGCCTAGAACTTTCAAAATCAAAAGGTAGATTTATTCCCTTCATAAAATACCTTTGAAAAAACATTCAAAAATTCTATGTCATTATCTAATAAGATTAAAAAATGATACAAGATAATAATTTAAATGATATTTTTCAAATTAATCAGGCATTCTTTTACCAATAGAATTTAGTTTATTGCAAATCTTATTCGACATAGTTTGCAATTTTATACAAGCCAAGCTTGTTAATAATATTTTATCCAAAGCAAAAAGTGATAAAATAAAATTAATTTTTCTATAAAAACTATAACATTAGCCATAGTAGAAATTATAGATTTGCTGGTCTAATTTTTCATCTCGGCTCGAAATTTTTTAAAAAAAATTTGTCGTGCCCGTTCCGATCTCGAACAAAAAAAATGTCTTTTTTTGTCTCAAGAGACCTAACCCAAAATAAAAATTATTAGTCGGTGTGGTCCGAACTTAGTTAAATATATAAAAATTTAATTATTTTTTTTCATTTAAAAAAAAATTTTGCAAATGAAAATATTAGCGCCTTATTTCTTGCAAGATAAAATATATCAATTTATTTGATAAAATGTACATTTTAAAATTTAAGCCTGAACCAAAATTCTTAAAAACAGGCTCGGGCCGGTCTGTGATTTGCAGATCTCATACCCTTTTAAATTTTACAAAGCTGCCTTCAAGGCATCATAAAATAGATAAAAATTTACAATAGCTTTATACGAGGATAGCCAGCTTCTATAAATATAAAATAAACATTTTAAATCTAGATTATATTACCGAGTGGCATTCTTGATACTTAAAAATCGCTACGATATTTACAGTACATCACTCTGACATTCTTTGAGCACTGCATATCTTATAACACCATTGAAATATACATGAATCTCGTCTAAGATCTCGAGAACATTTCTTAGTTCTTTAATCGATAGGCATAATTGAATAATGATTAAATTTAATCGATGAAATTAGCATCAAATAAAAATGCTGCCTTTGGAGTCTCAGCTCTAATCAAGGCCTGCCTGTACTCCCTTAATCCTTTCACTTATGTTTGAAGCGCGATCAAGCTTTGCCTAACTAAGAATTTGAGATATAGATTCGTGGAACTAAGTTTGCATATTATATTTTTAACAGTCATATTACCCGTACAATATAAGTTTATCTTTCAACTGGCTACGTTCAAAAGACTCAAAATTGGCTTTATATCAAATAAATACCATGTTAACATTTATTTTATTATATATAACATTTATAATATTTTAATCTATAATTTAAATGTATTATATTATATAATACTATACTACTAATTATAAAATATATCATTTATAATTAAAGCAATTATATCATTTATAATCAGCAATTTATATGTGTAATACTAATAGTTATAAAGTATATAATTTATAATTAAGGCAATATAATATTTATAATTAAAGCAATATAATATTTATATTTTAAATAATAGCTTTTTATTTGTAAATTGATTTCTATAAAAGTATAATAAATCGAAACGTATATCTATAAAAGTTATGTCGAAATGTGTTATTTTAATTAAAATTAGTGTTGTTAGTGGCTCAATTTGAACCGATATGGCTAACTCAATATATTAGCTAGAAAATTATGCAAGCCTGAAAATTTTGCTCATGGATAAAAAAGGTTTAGACATTATTCGTGAAATCTCTAGACTTGAGCAATATTTTTTAGCTAAAATATTGAGTTAGCTATTTATAAAAATCGGCTCAAATAGCGCCGTTTAACAACATTAATTAAAATGTTTAATAATTCTAAGACTTTTATATTATAAGAAAAACAAATATGATTTTTAAGATAAACCCGGTCGAAGGCTGGGTTACTGGGGGTCGAAGCCCTTCAGACATTTATATGTATGGACCCCCTCTAAAGAAAATCCTAGCTACGCCACTGGGCTAGGCATTTCACCATTTTCAATTTATCTTACTAAATACTAACGCTATTTCTCTGATTTCAAAACATATGTATCTCAATTATAATTGAAAATCAGCTGTTAGATTCAATTTCTTTTTGAATTTTTTTGTTACCATATTTTTCAAGAAGTATATTTATATTTTACGATAGATAGGAATATAGTTTGGATTTTAATCCGTTTTGTTTTATATCCCTTCTTTTTTATTCATTTTTTTGTAAAAAATTTAAAAAAATACCCCCATCATTGGTGTATAATATTTTTTTTAAAAAGTAATCCCTTTCTACCCCCTCCCCTCCCCCCGTTGTATGGGTTACTGTGATTAACATAGCAATATCTGACAATTTAACAGATTTATTTCAGTTATTTTCTTGAAGATTTTTTTGTGCGAAACTCAGAGAACCATCCCTATGAATTTTATGATTATTTTTTTACCATATCTATACTAAGATTTTATAATTAGTTTTTTTATGCATGACACATAAATATAGTATAAAAACCGACCAATCAAGTTGATTGTAGAGCCCGGTTAAATTTATTTCCAACTGAGCTCGTCAATATTTTATTGATTTTTTTTAGGATGAGGCCCTGCCTTATCTTTTATTTTTAATCAGAGCAACATTAAATTTTTATTTTACCAGACCCGGCAAAATTTTAAACCTTGACCGGTTCTATTTTAAAGAAATTATTTGACCAGACCTCGCCCTGAGGCCAACAACAGGGATCTATTTGATGGCCATTTTTCATAAAAAATTAATAATAAGTAGTCTCCTTCCCTTCAATGCATCCAACCAATTTTACTAGTATAAATATCTATTAGTAATATAGTAGATTATTATAATTTACACTAATTAATTTTATTAGTTAGATTCAAATTCGAAATTGAGAAGAAATGTTATTGTTATTATTATACATTTTAACAATTATAATGATGTAACTTAATTGGCCAATTATTAGAATCTTTAAAATAAAAATGATTATATATATAGAAATAGCAATAATAATAATAAAAATAGACAATATTAACATTATAATATAATACAAGGTAAAATAATTTTTAAATGGGAATTATAAATTTATTAAATATGAAATAATTTTTTTTAATATATCTTTTTATTGTAAGAAGAATCTAAATTTTGATGAAGATCTTAGACTCATAAAATTCGAAACTTTTATTATCAACATTTATTAATCACACAACACACAAGTGGTTGAGATGGATAAATCCTCAAAGACCAATACATATTTCCATCATAAAGGATCATTTCGAGTGAGGAAACTCGTTGGCACATCGGTAGATGAGGGAATTATTAAAGATAATAAATATGTTTCCATAAACTTCAGGCCGGAAGAAAAAGATGAAACAGATGATTTTAATTGTAAAAGAAACGAAAGAGAAAGACAACGCATAAGAAGCCTTAACAGAGCTTACAATAGACTCAAAGCCCGTTTGAATCAAGAATGGTGGACTCAGGAGTCAAAGCCTAGGAGCAAATTTTCCAACATTTCATTTAAAAGAAATAAGTGGGGTAAATTAGATATTTTGCGGGCGGCTATTCATTATATTCAACATTTAAATAATTTATTAATTTTGTAAAAGAAAAAAAGAAATTATTTTATTACTGCTTTTTCTGAATATATAATGAGTCTGTTGGAGATCTCAACTTATACATATTAAAGCAAATCAGATTATATAAAGGGAAAAAATATAAATTTTTGATATTATCATTTAAAAGGTATATAAAATTTTATTTATGCGTAAATAAGATATAGCCAAAGTTCCATTTCAAACTAAAAGTTATATTATTTTTAATATGCAAAATAAATTTAATATTTTACATTTGAAATGATACTTTACAAGATAAAATGCTTTATAATAACATAGTTAGTTATCTGAACTTAAAGATATAAATTGGCAGAATAATCAGGATTACAATAATAGTAAAGAAATCAATTTTAACTCAACCTTTGAGAACATTCGTGTGGTTCATAGAACACTATAATTTTAATAAACGTTATTACTTAAAATCCTATATTACTCTCTGATTTTTTTAAATAACCTAATAGTTTTGGCTGAGCAACATGTAGGCAAAATTTATTCTACTTTTGATGATTACTTTTTGTGATCATTGAATTTTGATCAGCTCATTTTAATGTTATAATTACAATATAAAAAAAACTTTGGGATAGAAATTGTTTTTATTTGTGTTATTAAAATAATATAGCTAAATAAAGATTAGGAGAGACTGGGGCCAAGAAGACCCCTTTTATAAAATCGTCAATAACTTCCGTATTTT